AAAAAGTCCCAATTCTTTCCTATGTATTACTGTGTAAATTGTTTGTTTATTTCGAATTTTTATAAATCAAATTTTGGCTATATCGATGGAATTTTCCTGTCCGGATAGGCCGATTTTAAAGTAATTTCAACAACAAAAAGTCGAAGTCCCAAATTTAGTAGCGCACGTGGGAAAATACACAGCCGTGGTAAAATACGAAGTTCAATCCTTGTTGTACGGCAACAAGTTAGCCATGTCAAACTAACATCTCAGACAGCGCGCTGTGGAACTTGGCTCACATGATCGTATGTCGTAAGTTGCAGTCTACTCTCACAATACAGACACCCCTCCGGACCGGCACCGATGTTAAGTTTTTCGTCCAGTTTAGTTGTACTTGTACTGAACCCAGTTCAACAATATTGTTGTAGTCAGGGCCTAGCTATTTAATTAATTTATCAAAGCCCTGGATTCTTTTGAGTGCATCAACACATTATTTAATACAGTATACGTACAGTACCTGTTGTTTTGCTGTACTGCTCAGCAAATTTAATTATTACCAATAAAACTGATGCGACTTTTATATTGTTTTTGCGTGCATTTCTTTAGGTCTGATTATGTTTTTCCAAGCACACATTCTTCGTTGGGCAATGCCACTTGCTGGTCGGCAGTCTAGTTGTAAACAGTAACAGGTCGCGCCTCCAAAAACATTTCCTGCCCGCCAATTGGTCCATTTTCGTGGGATGTTTTGCAGACTAGACATGTGCTTCGGCTGTGATGACGTCAGATCGCCCAAAGTTTTATAGTGCGTGACAGTAACAAGCTCGGTGTAATCAAGAATTTTTTAATTAAACAAATTTATAAAACAAAACAAAAAACAAAAAACCCTCATGGTATATTTTAGAGTCAAATCTAAATAAACCTAACAAATTACATTTTATTCTCTCTACAAATTTCCTCCGTAATTAAATTAGCAACATGTTTTGAAAAGCGTCTTGAGTTTAAAGAATGAATGAGGTGCATTTGAAATTTACACCGACGAATCTAACGAATTTGAATTAGACGTCTACTGCACAGAGTAAACAGTAGAAACTTGCTTTGTTGAGTTCCCTCTTTATTGCAGGTTGATTCCAAATGGTTTTTAAGGATTAAAAGCAAGAATATACACTTATTAAAACATTGGAATGCGTAAATTTCACTTCATAATTAATCAAGAAAACGTCTACTGGTGTGTCGTGTTAATCAACAGATAATCTCCATGGCAATGCGAGTATAGCTAAGCGTCTCGTTTTCACAGCGTCTGGTATGCTTGTCGTTAAAAGATGTCTATTAAACTATCGTCTGGTTTTTCGAGTGAGTGTTACTGTCCGAGATTTGGAATAGGGAGTTCATGTTTTCGAAAAGTATTTTATTAAAAGAAGAATAGGAATGAGTTTGAGACTTAAGAAAATGTTCGGTTTTGCGTGAAATTCGATTTTGTGGGCATTGAGTACACATAGTATTGTTCTATGTTAATATGTTAGAAGTATCCATAGGGGGAAACTAAAACAATGAAGAGAGTTAAAAACAGTACCTTATGGCGAAAGTAGTGTCGCTAAGGGGAAACTAAGGTGACGTTAAGGCGAAATCATAGACAAAAGAGATATTATTGCCTTCATACCATTACTTGAATGTGATATTTAATTTATGTCTACATAATTTCATTTATGCTAAAGTTATCTATATACTTTTCTTAATTTATCTTGATGTTTCTTTTAATTCTTTTCACCTTCTCCATTATATTCATTTTCTATTTTTTAAAATTTATTTTCCCTTTCCAGTTTTTTCTTTTCCTTTCTGTTTTTTCTTTTCCTTTCTTTGATTGTCTTTTCCGTTTCATTCCCTTTCAATATTTACATATGTATATATATCATTTGAAAATGATAATCAGCCATCTCATAGACATGAGGTCTATTCGATATTAGTGTCTTCACACCATTAATTTGAATATTTGATTTATGTTTACATAATTTCATTTATGCTAAAACTAGCTTTAATATAAACGATGTTAAATATCTGCATCTATCTCTCTCCCTCTGCACTTGCACTCATACCATACAAAGCAGTTATTTACTTACTTTTTTATTTTCATTACTTTTGATTGATTACCAATTTGTTATTCCTTAACTGTTTTCTATTAATTTTTTAAATTTCCATTTCTTTCATGTACCTTTCTTTATTCGCAATCACTCTGAAATTCAAAGTGGCAGTTGTCTGTCTTCTTTCTAAATGGTGTTACTTTACTGCCATAGGCAGGTCTCACTATTATGAAATGTTTGATGATTGCATGATATCCCTAATTATACATATACACAATCTTGATTCACTGTGCTGGTATTTTACATATGTAAATATGGGGAAAAATTAAAAATTTTGGTTGCCATCTAGATATACAATATGGCAGCCATCTTGAAATTCAATATGGCGCCTTCTGACATAATTTCTGATATCTGCATGATACTCCTGGATCAAAAACATGAGTAGAGATCTTTGAAAGTGCTATCTTTGACAGTGCTAGGTGTTGCAAATATGACGATATTTACAACATTATCAATAATTAATTTGGCGGCCATCTTGAAATCTAGTATGGCAGCAATCTTGAAATTTAATGGTGGCATTCTGACATAATTTCTGATGGCTGCATGTTAGTCCTTGATATCGAAAACATGGGCAATGGTCTTTGATTGACAGTGCTAGGTACTGTAGATGTGAACATTGAAAAAAATATCATTAATTTGGCGGCCATCTTGAAATCCAATATGGCGGCGCCATCTGACATAATTTCTGATGATTGCATGACACTCCTAGATAATGAAAACATGAATTGAATGATCTTCAACTGGCAATGACATGTGCTGTAGATATGAATATATTGGCTAAAATCAAATATTTTGGCGGCCATATTGGATTTCAAGATGGTGGCCATTAGGAGGCGTTATTTTTTGGGGTCTACTTTTTTTAATGATCTTCAGGTGTCATAGTATCACTGTGGGTTTCATGCTTTTTTCCAGAAGTGCACGATTCTGCCTGAAATTCGACCTTAGTCGCTCTACTATAAAGAATCACAGTAAAAACACATGAAAAGAAAAAGGGCTGCACAGTATCAATGTGCTTACTGAGCCTAGAAAAAACATTTTTGTGCCTCCGACCATAAAAATTAGCTTGATCAAATGCTTTCCGGGCGAGTCAAGTGGCCGAGCGGTAGGGCAGGAGCGCTGCTAGCTACAGCCTTAACATCGGCACTGGTTAACATTTTTGTGGAAGTTCCATTTTACAGTATTGTTGATTCATGTTATTAAATTTAACTATGCATTAAATGACAAATTTTTTTTTTTCTAAAAATGCTTCCGGGGCCGGTCATACACTTTTTCCAGCCCTGGCTAAGCCAACCTAACATTTTAATGTATTAATTATGTACTTCTAACAGTAATTTACTTACATACTCCTCCTCCTTGTTCAACAATTCATCCTTGCAATCATACACATCATCTTCCATGCCGGTGATGGTTACTATATCTGGGTCAGGATCACTAGCACGAGGAAAGCGTATGTCTACCTTGAAGTCATCCATCACTTTGCGTATTGCACGTCCCTTTCCTCCAATGAGACGACTATGGATGCGATGATCAATTTTTACCTCTATGCTCACTTGGTCTTCCTATTAATTCAATTATACCAAATAAGTTTAATCGCTAACCATGGATATATATAGTGCATGGTTAGCGATTAAACTTATTATACCAAATAAGTTTAATCGCTAACCATGCATTTATAACATATATCCATGTTATAAATGTACATTTACAAAACGTTTTTTTTTTTAGGTTTTCATGAACAATTTATAATGGAGTAGAGATAAGTGTGCAGAATATCCATTGTAAAAATTATTCTCACCAACTCCTGCACTAGTTTTAAGATGGCATCTTTTGCAGCATGTGCTTTTGCTTCATATCCAGTTATAACTATGCGATCTTGTTCAGTATCATCTCGCTCTGGAAACTGAATATTGACATCATGATCTTGCCTGATCTTGGTGATAACAGCTCCTTTCCGACCAATGATCTTTGGGTGATGTTTTGGATTAACATTCACAACCACCTCAAAGTTCCTCAACATCTAAAAAATAAATTTGTCCTTTTATTACTGCATCCATCACTGAATTATTGAACGGGTAATAAATGCTACTTAAATCATAACACAAACTTTGATTTTCCATAAACTGGCTATGTACTTGGATGACCAGACGCAGATTTAATTCACATTTACATATTCTATAACTACTAAAAACCTACTTACTCTTTCTTCCTTCTCTTCATCAAGTTCTTTAACACGTTCCAGAAGTGCATTTTTAGCATCATCAACATTCTTGGGAGGGCCAGTAACCTTTACCAAGCTACACTGCTGATTGGCAGGAGGGATAGCAATATTAACCTGCAAGGGTAATCTTTCAAATTTTAATGGCAGTTTAATCACTAACCATGCACTATATATGTTATAAAGGCACATTTACAAAACGTTTTTTGTAAAACTCATCATTATTCACTGCATTAGGTTTGAGAATTGGCGTTTTTAAACTTGAGGGCGCTATTCTTACGAACTTCTCATTTACGAATTTTCTCAATTACGAACTGCTTTCAGCCCAAGGTGTACGTAAATGGGAAGGTCGACTGTAATGGCAAACGAATGGATCAAATTCAATCAAATTTGGTCATTAAGACACTTCATACACCCTAGTCTGGGATCAGAGGCCACATAGGGATCATCAGGATCAAATTTTCAAAATAGCCCAATTGAGCTCAAATTTGCGTGGAATGACACTTACGACCTTCTAAACATAAAGAAAATACTCTTTACCCTATAGGTCAGTCCTTTCCATAATTTTTTATATTGCTCAAATTGAATATGGATGATACTGTACTTAGGACATGATCTCAATGTCAATTAAGGGCCACAAGGGTCATTAGGGTGAAAATTATCAAATATAGCTAGTAACAAACAATTGGACCAGTTGCATTAGACAGACTACCAAACATGGGGTGTTCACAGCTTGAGGTCAGAAGTCACAGGAGTCATCTTGGGTCAAATCCTGAAAAATGAGTGGGTTCATGTTCTATTGAACATAGTATCTCTAGTTATCCTTGTATTTGTATATGATATAAAATGGCTCTTGTAGACAAGGAAGAAGTAATCGTATGACTGGTTAAAGAATACACATCTACCTCATTACCAAGACCATCAAAACACAAGCCATCGTGTTGGGATGTAATATTTTGACATTAATTATGTCATCATTCGGAAAAACTAGCATTGTTAAAAAAGATCATGGAAAGTATTGTAAACCATATCCAAAAATTGTAGTGTAGAATACAATTGTGAACTCAAGAGTGCACTAAATGAAAACCTTACATCAAATTGTTGCATCATACGTCGTACACCGGCTCCCTTCTGTCCAATAATAAAACGATGGTAATCAAAAGGTACTTCAACTTCCTCAGTAATAGGAACAAGAGCCTGTAAGTAAGCAAACACAGACCTGTTAATACCAATTACATCAATTGCAAAAAATGAGCCTATAAAAAATAATGCTTACCAATAGAGCATCTCTGGCTTTCTCACAATTCTCTTTCTTGCCAGTGATGAAAATAGTATCACTCTTCTTGGGTTTGTCTTCTTCGCTTGTTTCACTATTAGCATCACCGTTTACTTGTGTTTCCTCAGTAGTTCCTCCATTGGCTATAATTTAAAAATTAATTGAATATTTTAATTTCACCTTCAATATATTAAGTACTGTATAGTGTGTTCTGCAACTTCAGTAGGGAAAAAATCTTGCAAATGCAATCAGTTGTCCTTAATTTTAATCCACTTTGTCTTGTCTTTGGTGAGCAAGCTAACCTCCTTCAGTTTCTTATAATTAAAAATAACTATAGCAATATGCCATTGTTGTTTATTTCAGTGGCAGGTTAAAGAGGTGGACGGACAGGTCTGCATTCCCCCCCCCCCTAAATTTTCCAAAATTATGAAAGAATTCCTTTAGGTTACAAAGCACTTTGTCTTCCCTGGTCATTGGGTCAACATGCTTAAATGTTGCTACCATATTGACGCAGTAGCAGTCAACACCACCAGGTAACCATTTATATTCCTAGGTGGAAAGAAGCAACGCAGATAAATTGCCTTGCTCAAAGATACAAGCAAAATGCAGAGCAAGGGGTTGAAACCCAAACCTTGAGGTTGGAAAACCAAAACCACATCTTACTCTCAGAATTCTGTATGCGATCAGGAAATTTAATGCCAACTTCAAACTGGGCAGTAACAGCTTGAACTCTGCAACCTTTAGCTCCCATAACTGTACGGTGGTATCGCTGAGGAATGATGCACTCGATGCTCACTTGAGATTCCTGAAATATAGTTACAATAACAGAGATGACATGCCAATATTCAGCCATAGACGATACTAACTATGCTCAGGAATTATTAGCTAAACAAATTATACAAACCTAAATATACTTGCCAACATTATTTATGAAGAAGAAATTGCAATGGTTACATTTCTGTAATCCATCTTATTATTTTTTCCTTTCCATTGCCTGAAAATATACCAATGATTCAAAATTTCTTACCAAATCTTCAACAATATCCAGAATGCGTTGTTTAGCTCCTTCAACACAGTCTTTGGATCCCTTAATGCTGACTTTGTCACTTTTGGAGCCATTACGAGGAAAGCTGATTTGAACATTTCCATACTCGTCTCCAATCTCTCGCAGAATTTGTCCACGTCTTGCTACAAAGTGTCTATGAAATTTAGGATCTACCGCAATTTCTCCTTCCACAATGTTCTCCTAATAATTGGAATAAAAAAATGCACCAACTTCTTATCAGAATCAGACCTGATACGGTATTAAAATACTGAAATTCAGTAATTTAAGTTGATTCTCCGGTTAATTATGTTACTATCAATAGCAGAAAATGCATTCATATACACTCAGAATATGACCACCTCTAATGAGCTTATCAACGAGAAGGCTTCAAATAAAGATAAAGAATTGAAATGTAAGTTTTACTTACTAAATCTTTAATTAATACATCCAATTTCTCTTTAGCTTTTTTTACAGCATCTTTTTTGCCAATCAATTGAATAGTTTGCTGGTCATCATCCTTGGGAGAAGGGAATGCAATTCGTGCACCTGTTTCTTCACGAACGCTACGAATATTAGCACCCCCTCGTCCTATAAGGAATTTGTGAAATTCTGGTTTTGCATGTACTTCAGCAGTGAAACTGGACTCTTCCTGCAAGACCACAGAAGAAATATCAATAGCAATATATGTTAGTTATTTAAGAAAAAACATTAAATCCAGATTAGATGCAAGTTTTTATCACTTTCCTATTTCATTTTATAGACTTGTATAATAATCAATTTAATGATGAACATAATCATGAACAAATACTAGTAGTGATGATATTATAATTTCTCCTAGTTCTACAGAATCTTTAATTAGCAAGCTTATTCTCATTGTGATGCTTTGTTTGTAATGGATTATAAAAAGTCTGATTGCAAACGTTTTACAAAGTGATAATGTATATTTTTCATAATAAAATCAAGTTTGTTTTATTTATTTATTAATAGTTTGATCTTTTCTTCCATTTCTGCTATAATAATCACTATATTAAGGTAAAAAACATAACTAGAACAACAAACTACACACGCAAGTGTCGTCGGATTGAGCGCACATGTTAACAATATATGTTACTTAAGAAAAACACTAAAATCCAAATCACATGCAAGTTCTGATCATTTTCCTATTCCATTTTATAGACTTTTATAATAATCAATTCAATGATGAACATAATCATGACTCGTAAACTGAACAAATACTAGTAGTGATAAAATTAGAATGTCTCATAGTTCAATGTGATGCTTTGTTTCGTAATAATTATTCTTCTAAAATTGGATCACAATGTAGTTATAAAAGTACTTTTTACAATATGATAATTGAATGCTTAGGACAAAGTTCTGAAAGTTGCTTTACGCATTAAAATGATCATAAATCCCAAGATGGAATGAGAGAGTAGCTGCTTTACATAAAAAGCACAAAAAAGACATCATCATTGACCAATTAATACTGTAAAAAAAGGCTGATTGCAAACATTTTACAAAGTGATAATGTATATTTTTCTCAATAAAATCAAGTCTGTTGTATTTTTTCAGTAGAACCCCTCCTTTGGGAGACACCCCTATTCAGGGGACACCCCTATTAAGGGGACACTTTTCTGTGAAACAAGGGTCAATATATCTTTTAACACTACGGCTGACATCTACTAAGGTAACACCCCTATTAAGGGGATGGGGACACTTTCTGAGTGTGCCAAATTGTCAAATAACCCCTATTAAGGGGACACTTAATTTATTTTTTTTTATCACTGTATCACAACTACAGCAGTCTCAAAGTAAGAACCAGAGCCTTGCAGGCGTCAACGTTCCTATGCATGATACACGACTTTTAGAAGTATATATACGTATATATATATATATTTATATATATATATATATATGTATATATATACATATATGTATATATATATACGTATATATATACAC